ATGCTAGTATTAATTTTTGTTGGAGTTTCCAACATGCTCGCCACACCAGCGGTTTATTAGTGGATAAATTACCAGAACAGTAACTTGTGCTACACAACATATAACATATAACAGAAAATGTCTTTACTTCATACTAATACAACTTGCATAAACATAACAGAACCATAAAAATATTACAGTTGATGGTTATATTAGTAAATCCAATATTGTGGGTGATGCCCAATTACATTACAATAAGTATAACAATAACAAATTGTATAAATAACTAAACAATTGCAAATAACATATTCTTACTTCTCTTTATCGTTATACATTAAAAGAACAAGAAAAAGAAAGCAGTTTAAAATGAGCAAATAATAATTAAATCTAGGCATCATTTATAGGAAGAATACATATACCAGATAAGGAACGTTTATAAGTTTTACCATTAGGTGTTACAACTTCGAAGACTCTAACCTTCCCATCTCTACCTGGAAACACCTTACTTATTCTAGCCATAGGCCAGTGCAAAGGAGGATTGTTTGGGTCCTTGAGTATCACCAACATTCCTACTGTTACATTAGGATAACTCTTTTGCCATTTGGATCTAAACTGCAAAGCATTTAAATAGTACTTATGCCATATTTTCCAAAAACATTGTTTTAAATGTTCACATTGTTTCCAAAAACTTAGTCTATTAATAGGTAAATCTGATACATCATTTTCAGGATAAGCTACAATAGCATTACCAGTCAAGAAATGACCGGGAGATAGATAACTAAAATCCGTTATATCAGTATTCAACCAACCTAAAACAATCTTAGAATCGGTAAAGAGATAAACACTATCAATTGAAAGTTTGAGCTGTAACGTTTCATATGTCCTCCGTACTAGTTTTGATAGCAATAAGGCCGCATTCAACTCTAACCGTGGTATCGTTATTGGTTTCGAAAACGAATTAATTCTGGACTTCGCACATAAAAGAAACATGCGCACATTACAATCAGAGTCTACCGTTCTAAGATATACACAGCATCCGTAGCCTATTTTACTTGAGGCATCGACAAAACCGATCAATTGAACAGCCTTAGAACCTAATGGAATTGGTATATTTCTATTAATATGAATAGGTTCCATTGCCTTGAGACCGTCAATAAAAAACAACCATTCTTCTTTAACATGATCGGAGGGAGAAGCATCCCAACTAATACCTTCAGCCCACAGTTTCTGCATAATAATCTTAGCCTTTACTATAATTGGACACACAAATCCAAGTGGATCATAAAACTTAGCAATACAGCTTAAAATTGACTTTTTTGTTACCGATTTTATATCAATAGTTTCTGGGCATGTGATATTAAACCAATCATTCTTTACATCTAGATTTAAACCTAATACTTTCATGGTATAATTATCCTTTTGCAACTCTAGCTCGTCAAAATGTTGTTTACTAATTGGAACATCAGACAAAATTTCTGGATCATTAGTTGACCATTTATGTGTTTCAAAACTTCCTTTTTGTAGCAAAGACTGTAATTGTTGCTTAGCTTCTTTTATTTCACTAAGATCTGATGACGAATAGAGGATATCATCGACGTAAGTACAGTTTCGCAATATAAATGAAGCTATAGGAAATTCTTGACCAAATAGTTCAGTAAGTTCGAGTAAACAACGAGTTGATAAATAACTTGAACTTTTCATACCGTACGTAACAGTATTTAAACGTATACATTTTATTGCCTCATCAGGATTATTTCGCCAAAGAATATTTTAAAGAGCCCTGTGTTTGGGATTCACCAGAATATTCCTAAACATACGCCTTATATCCGTGGAAAACGTATATTTACCAATTCGGAACAATAAAATTACATCAAAAAGCTCTTTCTGGACTGAAGGCCCATTCAGTAATAAATCGTTTAATGAAACCTTTTTATCCGTCTTCATTGAGGCATCAAAAACGACTCTTGTGCGAGTAGTTTTACTCGATTCATTAATGACCGCATGATGCGGTAAAAAATATACAGCATCTTTGTCAAAATCATAGAAATCAAAATTAATAAAATCGCCATGACCTAGCTCTACATATTCATGAATAAATTTATTGTATTCAGACAATAGATTAATATTATTTTGTAAACGCCTTTCCAAACTTAAAAATCGATACCAAGCTAAAACAAAAGAATTGCCCAAGTAATTATGAATTTCATTATCCTCGACTTTAAGAGGTAAATTCACCTGGAATCTATTATCAATCAATTCTACAGAATTCTGAAAGATAGTTTCAGCTAACTCTTGTTCACTTTGATTCTCAGAAAAGATTTGTGGTATACTCTCAGCTTCCCAAAATAATTTGATATTATCATTGATTTCAGGATCGCATTTAATACATAATAGTGATGTTACCTGTTTTGAAGCTTGCTGATATTCAAGCATTGAACCACCAATAATATATCCAAAACGTGTATTGATAATGCAGGGCGTAATGTCATCTTGACTAGGTAGCGGCCGGTGCAGATTTCGAGACCACGGTCGCTCAGGCTCATTGGGCATTATCACATGGAAAAATATGTCAGCTCCCATTAAGAGATTTATTTCAGATGGAACATAAAATTGATCATCTGCCAACACTATATTGGGAGGTAACTTCAATTGCCGAATATCAAGTTTTGTTTGTGGATGCTTGCAGGTAATTTTTTCGACTACATAAAAATTGGCAGTCATATTAAAAGAAGAATTAACAGAGTGTATGTTTAATGGAATACAATATCTTGTATTATTCTGAGCATTGCCTACACCTATTATATTTGTATTGTTGGGTGTTGGAGTTAAACCTAATTGCTGGATTAACTTGCTCGTAGCGAGGGAGGCTTGTGAACCTGTATCTAAAATCGCCTTCACTATTATCGTCTTTTTATCCTTTGTGAATAATTTCACTTTTACTGTGGGAAGCAAAACATTAGAATCGTGGCCCTTGGATAATAAGGAAACAGGACCTTCGTCACATTCGTCATGATGAACTAGTGAATTGTGTGCCTTTTTGCACAGATCGCATTTGAAATGAAATTTGCATTTTCCATTGTGCCTATTTAAACAAATCAGACATAACTTATTGTCTTTACAGAATTTATAGCGTTCCACAGAAGTTATTAATTTGAATGTATTACAGGAAAATAATTTATGATTGTTGGACTTACAGTAATGACACGTCACCGCCTTCTCACCAGCAGCCGCTACGTTGATTGATAAACCCTTGACTTTTGTAGATGGCATCGCAGTTGACGGCGCAGCATTCTCCAATGCAAGTGCCCTCTTCTCAAGATACTCGATGAAGTGCTTGACGCTGTGTTCCTCGGCAGTATCTTTCTCCATTTGATACGACCGAGCCGTGTATGTATCTAACTTACGATTAAGAATACAAACAATTATTGGATCCCAAGTTTCAACCTTCACATCTAAGTTTTGCAGAGCAGCCAAAGTCTGCTTAAGACTCGCTACAAAATCTCGAATGTTTTCAGGGGTTGATTTGACAAGCGCAGGTAAGTCTAGTAATTGACCAATATGTTCATTTACAATACGATACCTATTGTTATACCTCTCCTCCAATAATTGTCTAGCTTGATCATAGCTACTGGCTGTTAATGGTAAGTTCTTAATAAGATCATACGGTTCGTTTTTTAAATAAGACCTAAGATAATACAACTTCTGAACATTATCTAGTGTTAAGTCATTATGAATCAATGAAGTAAACAATGATTGAAACGCTACATATTCAACATAATTACCAGAAAATATGGACATTTGAATCGCGGGCAACTTAGTTTTTGATCGTGCAATAGTACTAACATGACCTTTAGAGTCCTCTACACTATAAGTCTTACGGCTAATCACTTCATTAAGAACGGTAAGAGTATATAGATATTTATCTTCAACAGCTGTTACGTCCTCGTCATCATCTGGTCGCATTGAAAGAATCCGCATATTAAATCCTTCATATTCACGGAAGGCTGTGAGCAGTCTTTCTTTACGCGTTGTAAGGGCCTGTAAGGTACTTTCTTCTAATTTAGACTCGTTGCTAACAAAACTGTGAAGACGAGTAATCGCCCCTTTAACATAGCCTCGCGAGGCGCGTAGTGAAGTTTCACTATCAGTGGCCATTGCACGACGATTGCCACAAAATTAAAATATGTAGATATAATGGAAAATGTTCAAATGTATTTATTGAATATAAAAATCGTAGTTCCCACCTCGTGTCATGAATGAATTTGCCGTTGTTCGATGTATATTTTTCTTGCAGGCCAACTGAGATAATCGTTTGTCGTCGTCTATATAAATCTCTTAATTGACAACTAAAGAAATTGTAGTTACCACTCGGAGAAATATATAATATTTACTTGTAGACTTCAACAAAATTGCAATCGCCTGTCGAACGCACGGAGGAGAATAGATTTCATATATGTTGTATTCTTGAAACAATGGCGCTTCTCGTATCCACGTATATTGAACTGAGATTTTTTGTAATTCGCTGTTTCTTGCCTTACGATGCTCGAAATGGACCAAAATTTGTATTGTACTCAATATAGATACATGGATTTAATATATAAAAGGCCAAAGTTAATTAGGAATACAATTTTTTATTCTCCATTTTTATGACAATTTTATTTATTCTTTATTTGAAATTAAAAAATATAATAAAAAGTTTTTATGCTAGTATTAATTTTTGTTGGAGTTTCCAACAATCGTCCTCTAGATGAACAAAACACAATACATCAGGGGAGTTTATTAAATTGAAATTATAAACTGCAGTAATGAGTAAATTTCAATGGTTTCATGCAGCTTTATCTAAATTTTATGACGAATTTTTTCAACATAATAACTTTGTTGAGAACTAAATAGAAGGGAAAATGTTATAGTGGCATTTTAGTCAAGATTTCAACAAGCTTTATTTACTTATAATCATTAACTCAATATATACAAGATATCAAATGTTGGATAAATAAATTACATTGAATACTACAACAAAAGATACGACAATATTATTTATATCATAAATTATAAAATATTTAATGGCAGCTTATTAGGCAGTATTTAATCGCTTATCTAAATAAGTAAAGCTACGAGTAATCTTACAGTATTCTAACTACTATATAAATTCATTTAATAGTACTCAAAATATTATTTCCTATTATATTTATTTAATTATTATCGTGATTTTGAGTCTACTGGGTAGTAAAGCCATTTAAATTCGTATCCCTTCAGGCCATATTTCTCATCTTTTTCTGTTTCAGGTTTTGGTACTTCGTCAGATAATAAATCCAGTACTTCTTGCGATATTTTAGGATGGAAGCCAGTCTCATCTGCAGTGTAGTCTATTCGAGTTTTCAGCCCATTACGTCCAGTAACATAATAGTAACCTTGTTTTGCACCATTTGTATATCCCTCTTCAAAGTGTCCATGAAAACCAACAGTATAATTAAAAGTATACAATAAAAGCATCATATCATTTTTATTCAAACCATTTGGCAATCCATCTTTTTCATTAGGACCTTTATGGTAGATATCACTGTTACTAGGTACCACTTGCATATTAACAGAAAGAAGAGTAGGTTTATTGGGTGCTAATGGTGACTCTAAGTTTTGGGGATAATCATTATATTGTTTAGGATTACGGCCTCCAGATGGTCCAACAGGAGATTGTCCTTGAAACTGTTCATTCTGTTGCGGTTGTGGAGGATAATTTGATGACCCACCAATGTCATTAGTTTGTGGATAATTTGGATTGTTTCCATTATTTTGAGGACCACCTGGCTGTTGATTTCCATTACCTTGTGGATATTGATTATAACCAGGAACTCCTGATTGTTGGTTTTCATTACTTTGCGGATACTGACTATAACTAGGACCCCCTATTTGTTGGTTTCCATTATTTGCAAAATTAGACACCGGAGGTCTTATAGTAGTAGTAGTAGGAATGCTGCAATGCGAACATGACTTCACTGGTGATGGTGCTACTGGACCTGGTATATTTTGTGCATTCGTATTCTGCTGTCCAACTCCAGGCGTTGAAGCTGAGATAGGAATTGAATGGCCCTGTCTTTCAGTACCGGGATCTGTAAATTTACAACAAAAAATTAAGAAAAAACTTTTTTGTGTTTGTTTTAGTAACATAAAATTACGTTTAAGTATCAAAACATGGAAACAAAATCTTACATGGTTTTACACGAATGTTTTTCATTGACAATATTCTGAATCCACCGTTTTCATCTGTAGCATATACAGTTACATGATAAACACCGTCAGCAGTGAGGAATCCAAACTCTCCCATAATTATTCCTTTCTCATCTGAAATGTGAACGATAGAAATAATAAAATGGCTGTTATTGTAAATATCGAAATCGTCTCAAATAATAATTGCATATTCCTGTAGATATCAACGGGAGTCGTAATTACACAGACTTTAACATACATAAATAGTATTGTATCTTATAATATTTGAATACTTCTTTTGTGAAATAAATATTTAACATATTTATTACTGTATTTTTTCAATTATGTTACAGGACAATGAACATCATTTCGTTTAATATAATATTAGTAATATATATTTATCAATATATAATGAAATCATAAAATTTTACTATAGTATGCAAACTAAGTTATGAAAATAAATAATAAACATACGTTCAATATACCTTGACAGTAAGGTCAAAAGGTTGGTTGTTAAATGGCAGTAACTTTTAGAAGTTTTAGTATAATGTCGTTTCTAATACAAACTTTATTTAAGGAAGTACGATCGTTCATTAGAAAAATGATGCAATCGTATATTTGCTAATAGATGTTCAAAATGCCGTATTTAACAAACTTAATTGCTTTAGTAATGGTATTCAACTTACGCAAAGTAATCATTTATAGGATATTTTTTTTTAAGAATAATATATATTAATTCATATGAAGGGCGAATAAAAATATTGGTTACGCTATTGGATTTCTTATGTCTTACACTTAAAATATAATCAAAATCTAATACATATTACATAGATATATCTGGTAAAAATCTGATGGTGAGGTAAAAATTGATAGTGAGGGGAAAAGAAGGATTAAAGAAAATTCTTAGTTTTTAGTTTTTGTTAATAAGAATTAACAAAGATATCGTGTACCCCAATACACTTAAATATATAGTCGATTCGAGAACTTTTACCTTTTCAAGTCGGTTATGTGAATTATTGGTTTGTCCATTCAGATACATGTGCAAATATAAAGTTTGTAATAAATAACTAAAATACTAGTTTATGGATGACTAGACTTGAATATAACCGGTTAAGAATCTAAATACTAGCGGTACCAAATCACTAAGTGACAAGTTGTCTAGTTAGTTAAAATTAGTTTGTGAATGGCAAATTTTACTGATAAATGGATTTGATAACTACGTTTAAGTTAATTTAAATATATAAACAATCTATGGAGGAACCTGTTTGGAAAGGTAAGTAGTGAGTTTGTATAAAAATCGATAAATTATGAGAATAAAAATAGATATATAACATATAGAATTTATGAATCTGTTACAAGAAAACCCGATATTGATCTGTACAAAAAAAAAATAGAATCACAGAACTCAATGAACCCTATGAATTAAAAAAGGAAATATTCAGAATTGGTGGAGATATCATTCGTACATTCTCTTTTTTAAGTTGATTGAAAATATAAGTGATTGTTAGTAATGGAATTTAGCTATTTTATTGCTAATAATTTACATTGTCTTTCATGTTGTCATATTGACTTTCTCTTAATCTTTCTTGCGGCCCATTACAGTATATAAGACCTCGGCGGTTATGAGTTCGAATCTGCCTAACACAAAATGAGAAACTGAATTGATCCAAGAGACCTTGGCTTGCTTCTTGCTGCAAATATCTTGCATTCAAAGTTAGAAAAGTCATTTAAAAAATAATAGGAATAGTATAATGCCTAAACTAGTAAGATAAAGTTTGTGAATAGTAATTTCATGATTTCTAAACAGTCATATGACTGTCAAGGAAAGGAGGATAATGTTTTTTTGGGTATAATGTATGTTCGAATTTTAAAACAAATTATTGCTTTAACGGTGTGAAAGATTTGAAACGGATTTAAATAGAATTAGGATCGTGAGGGTAAATAAATGGATTATATAACAACAGTATAATGTAAATATGGGAGTTAAAGTTGAGTTTTTTGTGAGTATGTTAAGTTCACTTGAAAATAAAATAAAATGTATTACTTGATTTTCAAGTATTTAACATTTAAAAAAAAGTAAACTAGATAAGTACCTTTTTTTTCATGTCTGTGTTGTTCACCTTCAATGTTGAAACCAAACTCGTATGGTCTATTTTCATCTGTATATTTGTCTGCTCCTTGCGCTTGTAGTAAACATGTTAATACTATGACAATTATGATTAGACTTCGTTGATGCATCTATAAATGAAAAGAAATATAATTATTTAAAGTTAGATATTTTTTTATTTTTTATACTTTTTTTGTATTCATATTTTTACGTAATTATCTTTTGTTGAGGAGAACAATAAAGAGTTGTTATTCATTCATTTATTATTTAAATGATCATAATTTTATCGATGTTGTTCGTACTTTGGAGTCAATTTGTCAACTGTCTCAAGTTAGTGTTTTTCATCCAGTAAGCCGCAAAAGATGACTATGATTTTATAGACCTTATCATACGAATTTAATACACGACCATGCTGTGAAAGTCTCAAAACTTTTCGTTATTTTCCAATACATGATTCTATAGAAAAACACCACTGTTGATGATTCGAATTTCACACTGTAATGTGGTATTCAGTACCTCTGAATACCTGTGTATTAATGAAATCCCATTGGGTTATAAAATTCAAAATATAGATACAGGTTATTTACCATATTTTGTATATGTATATATATATATATATATAAATAGAATTGTAGGATAAATAAGTAGATATAGTTTCTCAATTGAAAGGTTTTACAATTTTTGGTGTAAAGTAGATACATGGTTTTTTTACAGGCTATAGTTTAAAAATAGATTATTATGAATTTTTAATTGATAATAGAGGTGTGGCAGATAGATGAACTATAAGAACTGCTTGCTAAAAATTATTGATTATATAAATAAAACATTTAAAATTCATTAAAAATTCTGTTGTAAATGTTAATGGATTTCACAGCTATAACGTCTTCTTTATCTATTTAGATGATTAATATTATGTCATAGATATATAGTCCGCATGATTAAAAATTGAAAATAAGAGTCAATAGAATAAAACACACTAATGAGGTGTCGGCGTGTAGTGTATGTGAATTTATCTATTTGCATGACCTCTTAGTAGGTTCACTATAAAGTTAGCTACTTGTAAGGACAAGCAAAGGATGATTATGTAACCAAAGGACTATTTGAAAATATAGAAGTCACACTTGTAGCAAAAAGTTTATTGACGAATGGTCGAATGAAAAATATGATCATTTAATAACCTAATCATATTAGTAAATGAGGGTAATAAATAATGACTATCAGAAAAGAGTAGGGTGGCTAATATATATTTAATATTAACCTTTATACAAGCATTGTTACCTGCTGAGAAGAACTGGTACGGAAAAATCTCATCAGTTATTTTTTTAAATAGAAAAATAGTATTTGCTTGCGTTTATTATTATTTAATTATAGTTTTTTTGATGTTTTAATGGCTCAATCGATTGTTAGTTAGAAAACATAGGCGAATAGTCTTTTTTTATTATGGCCACACAAACAATAGTAAACATGTAATAAATTATTTATATAAGTATATTGCTTTAAACAACATCATTTTGTTGACACTTAGAAATTTCTATAGATATTATTAATATTATAATGAACTTAAATATATGTAGTAATAAAATATAATCAATCAGATGTGATCATCACAGTAGGTACCATAAACTAAATATTGTAATATGTGAGTAGTACTACATCATCACATCATCGATATAATTTGATTATCAGGTAAATTGAAGTAGTAGTACTCACTATGATGTCATATAATTAGATTAGCAAGCTCACGGTGGGCCGATTTGTTGGGATTCTTAATGTTTGATTGAAAATGATGAAGATTGGCTCATTCATACTTGTACCGCTTCTAGGAACTTTTTAATATACACTGTTTATGGCTGATTATAAAATTTCAGTTCCGCTTTTTTACATATGTACTCAAAGAATTGTCGTGTGGTCCCGGCATAGAATAGGCCACCCCTTCCTTTCCCGTGAGTGTCGTAAGAATCGATTAAGGGAAGGCGAGGGATGGGTAGCCTCTTAAAACATACTAACCCGCTTACCCGCCTGCCAAGCATGGCAAGTACTGGCAAAAAAGGGGGAAGCTTATGTTTTAAAAGTGTCTTGTCTACGTCTCTATGTTTGAAAAGTGTCCTCTCACTTAGAATAAAAATTCACTGAAGTCGGTTTGTTTTAGCTAGATTACCGAAAAGAACAATAATATTTTTCAGCATATGTTGGCTATATTAGTAGATTTTTTAACAATAAAAAAACCGCGAAATATAACAATAAAGATTTGAATGACTTAGTTGATACTAATTAGACCAAATGCTAAACAGACTGTTAAGAATTGTTGCAATACATATTCATATCTCTCCTAAATATCCATATACCTGCCTATCTACTTGCAATACTTATAGCAAATATTGTATTTAAACAAAAAACCCGTAAAGGATTTACGATTATTGATCTACGATGTAATTATAAGATGATTTCTAACCAGTAAATATATTAGTGTTATTAATATTAATTTAATATTATTCATAGTTACAATTTTAGATTTTTGTTTATTTTAGGCAATATCTTTAGAAGAATCTTTATCTGTTAGAAATTAGTATATATATAGATACTCATTATTGTTTCATACAAAAGATTACTTATTATAAATTTATTATAAATACAAACAATTATAAGAAATGATCACACCGAGATAACAATGCGGTCTCATCGCTAAAAACGATCTGAATAAAGCTTTAATTAATTATTGTAGAGTTATAGATTAGTATTAATGTTGTGACATCTTGAATTACGACATTATAACTTTATATTACTGATATAATAAAAGAAAACTTTTAAAAGAAAATTCTAAAACAACGTATATAGCATTTATTTTGGTATACTTTAAGTAAGTATGTGCGAAAATAGTATTTAGACGTAAGTAATATAAGTTATTCATAATAATAATAGATAATATCTAATAAATATAATAATTCTTCCACTATAGCTTTATTTCTATCAATTAACAATATATTTAAACATAAAAACTACTATGTTACTAAACATCAACTAGTAAATCTCATGTTTTATAAACGTATTAAAATATATGTTAATACGCTGATCACGATATTGGGCGCTGAATAATAAGTAAAAGTAATTCAATAATAACGATTAACATTCAAGTTCATAAAAATTATGTAGATCCGTATAACTACATACATTCATAGGTTTTTTTGTAACTATGGATGCATTATAATATTTATGACTCGTCATATGTTAATAAATTATGTATTAGTATATACGTATTTATAAATTATGTATTTTATTATAAGCATTAAAAGCTTGAAAAGTTAGTTATTTTAGCTTTCGAACTGACAGATTTCAATTTGTATTTTATATTTAAGTTTCATTTTCTGAAGATGGTTCTTACCTGTGTTCAGTGATAGAAATCAGACTGTTCTCTACAATACTAAGCAATAAGTTAACCATAAAATACTAATGAACTCACGTCATAATTTATAGAGTTAATTATATATTTATTTTTATATACATCATAGATCATCAATCATACATACACCTATGTTAAGTAGAATTTAGATGTGAAAAAAATAGGTTGGTTCAATATGAATAAATTTTGTGTTACCTTTAATTAATTTATTTTTTAATTATTTTTATAAACCCTGTTAATGAAATATAGAAAAGTCGTGTTTACTAAATACAGGTGTTTAACATCGATAAACACAGTTTATGTTTCAAAGAATGTTTTAAAGAATCAATGACGAACAATAGTTCGTCATTGATTCTCTAACTTTTCATTCTAATAGATATATCAATGAGTTTATTTTTTAATATACTCGTATAATATTTAAATATTTTAATAACACATCGCCGAGAATTGATAATAATATGTGTTTAAATTAATTAGTCGTGTAAGGACATGTCTTACAACTTTGTTGAAGGCGTTGATTTTAAAATTATATATCATATTTTAATGTTATATTAAAATTATACTCGCAAATTATACATATTAAACGAGACGGTAATATTTTACTACATTTTATCGGTGACTTTGTTTGATTGAATAAAAATTATTAATAAAGAAATAAATCTAAAATTTAGTATAAAATCAACAAGGAAAAATATATATTCTATAAAAACTAATAAGTGAAGAAATGATGACAGAAGATATAACTGAATTGGAAACCTTTTTCTTTTTTAAGTACAACCAAAAATGACAATAACTGACTATAAAAAGAAATTGATCAGGTATGAGAGAAGATAAGGAGACTTCAAGCTATTAAAATCAAACTAACAGTCAGATTTTCGTACGTAGATACATACTAATTAATTATTAATAAAAGTACGAAAATTCAAATAGTTCAAGAAATGTTTCAAAATTTCTTTAAAAAACGTATTGACGTATTGTCGGTGGGGATCTCGTTTAATGAGAGGTTATATAATGCGTAAGTTACTTTCTATTTACCTAAATAATAATCTAATTTTAATTACTTTATTTTATTTTTATAATTTATACTTTATTTTATATTAATACTTTATAATTAATAATAATGTATAATAATATTATAAACAGGAAAGACTTCATTTTTTGTATGTTTATTTGTAATATTGTGACTCAAAAACTACTCATCTGTTTTGAAAAATTCTTATATAAGTGTAAGAATTTTTAAAATCTGTTAAGTAATTTTTAAATCACATTATTGCTATAAGAAGTAAGTTACATTATTAGTAAGTATCATATATTTTTGGGATATATATTATTTTCAATAAAATTGGATTTCCCTACGAAAATTACAATAAATATACTATTTTGTATGTTTTGTGTGTCAGCAACCAAGGTATTAACGATTTCCCATTAAAGCTAATATAAAATACTAATTTATCCTTACATCTATCTACCTGTGCGATGCCGGAGCGGATCACTAGTAAAATTAATAAGTTATCAACTTCAATTATTCGTAAATAGTGTTACAAAATTTCGTGATGGTTGTTTACAACTTTATATATTTTATGAAATATAACACTTATCATGACTATATCTTTGTGAAATTGATAGTATTAATTGATATTTTTAAATATAGAAATATTCCGTTTAGTTTATGTGTTAGAGTTCGAAAATATAAAGATAAAATTTATTTTCAACGTGTTTCTGAAATAAAAATTCTGCTTGTAATCTACGGATCACTGAACTGCTATAATGAGGAGCAATTTAAATATATTATGTATATATATAAATAGGTAATTAATAATACAAAATGCTACGGGCAATATTGACACCTGTTAATCCGGTTTTAATAGTAGGATTTCACATAAACACGTGAAATTTCAAATAATATAATGCTGCGGTAGTTGTATATTTCACAAGAAGCCGTTATGCAAAAGAATTTATAATAATATATCATAACTATATATATGTCAATATAATGAATATTATTAATTTTAATTAGGATTTTTTTATTAATATATAAAAAATACAAACAATTTTTTTTTAAATAATTAAGAGATTAATATTTACTAAACTTGTTTAACTAGACGTCAATGCATTATAAGAATATTTGCATAAATGTACCTATTACAATTATTTTTATTTGCGAATTAATTTAAGCAAAAAGTATTTATAGAGTTGCTTAAAATAGGTGCAGTGGTAATTCAATGCAATAAATTACACCAGATTGATTACTAATTGTAAAACTGCTAGCATACTATTGTATTTTTATTCAAATTGATGCAAAAATAGGACATTTATATTCTAACAGAAGCATTTTATTGATTTTGAGTTAACATTATTAGTAAACATTATTTGTTTTGTATATACTGCGTACATCCAAAATAAATGCTGTTATAATATTTTGAATAATATTTCAAATTACCTACTGCTACTGTCTTTTAAGGGGAAAAAGGAATCAAGAATAATATATTACTAATAATTGATAAATTATCAAAAACTATTTATTTTTAAACGACATCAAAAACGGATTTCGTTTACACTTTTTTTATGTTAAAGTTAGATGCGCGATATCTTAGTCAAAGATTGGAATTTAATAATTATATTTGCTGCCCATATGATTTATTCTCGTACATTTTTTAAGATTCACATAAATCAAAATTAGATTTCTTATTATACTTTGGATGGACATAAATCATAAATATATGTTGTTTAAGACTTCTATACTAAAAAAAAAAAAAATATTATTTAAAAATATTTGTCTAATAATAGATGAACTATACTTGTTCAATGCTTTTTTAAAGGTTTACATTAGTTTTACAGTACTGTACATTGTAAAACTTAAATTATGTTTGTTATTTATATTAAACATTTAATTAAGAATTTGTAGCAACGAGGAAATGCAGTCGCAGTATTGTAGGCGCGTAGCTCGTGAGTAATAAATAATCTTTCGAAGGGCGAATTTTCTGTTGATTATGTTTTTTCGATATTTAGGATTTTTTTTATGTAGTAATTCATATGTTTTTTTGTGCAATTAAACTTTAATACTATTATATAGATGTTTATGACACTGCATGATTTTAATAATATAAAATAAAAATATATACTGTAGAAATGTTATTTACTTCTATGACTTGGGTAAGCTTTGTGATTTCTTTATACTATTTAATTAATTTTACTTTATTAAGCTATATATGAACGACATGATTTGTAAAGGAAAGTCTTTATTAATTTATACATCAATATATGAGTGGAAGTTGGTAAGTTGAACTGTGATTAAAAGAGTTGAACTCTATTCATGCAGTGCTAAAGTTTGTTGGTCTTTAATAGTTAACAATTAACTTTCGTGGCATTTTCAGTTACATTTTGATATCTGTTAATTGACTTTAGTGTTTTCTAGCCAAATAAAAAAAAAAACCTTTAATTCAGATATTATATATTTGAAATTCATGTTTATAACTTTACTAACAAGTTTACAATAATTCAGTATTTCTAAACTTTTTAATAAAGTTCAGCACAATATTACTGAAACAAAATAATTTTCATCATCTACGTATGATAATAATAAAAATAAATAATAAGTCTGCATCATTTATTTCTTGGCCACTTGATTTTTGCTTGAAGATAGTAAAATAATCATATATAATATTTACCTAATACTCAGCAACAATGTGAATAGTTCTCAAATCAAATATATATTTTTAAATATAGATAATATTGTTATTTTGTATCATTAGATGTAATCTACTATCTTTTTAACGATTTATAAAATTTAAAACATGTACATTACTTTTTTTTATAATTTAACTGATATATGAATTTAATTGTACAGACAATGATTAACCGTTGTTGTTATATTACATGAAAATTTAAATTAAACTAGTGTAAACATGTTTTACTCTCTAATATTATCTACATCGAGGTAAAAACTTTCAAACAACAAACATTACAATATTTCATTAAAATAGTGGTTTGGGAAATAAGCGCAAGCAAACATTATGACACAGGATTTTTATACTTGTATATTAAGAAGAAAAGTTATTTATTCAGATAATTTTTTTTAAATTAACGTTTTCGATAACTTATAATAATTTTAACTGAATGCACCAATATTTTCACAAGCGTAACGTGGACAAATTGATTAATCAGGATAAAAATTAGCATACGTTCGTTTCTACGCAAATTACTATGCTGCGTTTATCAAAATTAATAACGTTTAAGGTAAATAAAACATAATATTTTAAAAATCGAACTTACTTTCACATTTAAAATATTGATAATTGTTTATGTTCGTAAAGGGGGTCCTAAGTTTCTTAGATTATAATTTAAATGATTACATTTATTGGTTTCATTTACAGCTTACCTTTTTTAATTATGAATCTGTTAACTGGAAACAGGTACGGGCGTTTGTAGCCCCTTGCGGCCTGTTGCGCAAGAGTTCACACGAGACTGTGCCGATTCTCTATAAAACTCACGTAATTTATTAATAGTAGGCTGCTAACGTAGACATAGATCAGACGACGTGGAGTTAGGTTAGGTCGTATATGTATGTATGTAGTTACCTTTTTAAGCTAATGTAAATGAATTCGGAGTATTTTATAAGTCAATGAATAACATTAATACTAGTTTATATATAGAAAAACTATATAAAAATATTTAATGATTGGCACTACTATTTTTTTAAATTTATCTATGTTTAGAGTTCAGTAATTAAAAATGATAAACTGAACCCTTAAAGGATCACTTTATTGTACGTCTGTTTTTTCCGTCTGATAAGACCCTTTTCTCAGGAACGTGAAATTAATATCAAATATCTAGCTTGCAATCTCTTAAAATTGTAGAAAATCAAATGTTTAAATTAATGCATTTAAAAAGATATGGTATATTTATAAAGTACTTGTACGTAACCCCATAATATATATATATATATATATATATATATATATATATATATATATATATATATATATATATATATATATATATATATATATATGTATGTACCCGAATCGTAACAAGTAATCAGGGTGTCTCAAAAAACTAAAACTCGTTTAAGTCAAAAAAATAATTGTTTTGACTTAAAAGACTTTGAATTTACAAAAACATATGACATAAAATTTTAAGAAGGTATAATCACGGTAGCTCGTGCCGACTTACATTGATACAAGTTAGTACTTGCTGTCTAAAGCTGATGCGACCTGTGTTGATGTGCTTGTGATTATTTATTATTTGGTTATAGAACACTCCTTGTTTTCAATTAGTCAACATGTCAGTGAAATTACGCAGTTCTAAAAGGGGTATATTTTTAAGAGATGACGTAAAACATCAAATAACAGGTTCAGAACTTCCGTCTAATGGACAAGTTGTAGCAATTTTATTTTACAATATCCGTGAAGTGAATTTAACTGTTAATGAAAGCACGAATCTCACTATTCGCGAGTGTATTATCTATTGGGAAAAGGCGCGTACTTCTACTAAATCTTTGTCTATTTGTGTGAAGAAACTTGTAAACTTATGTCGAATTTGGAGGGACTTGCAAAAATGCACAAAACATACCAGATGCATTTAAGCAGCACCGACAAGATTTGGTTAACAATTTAGATAATTAGTTTGATATTGCACACACCGATGCTCTTTAATTAATAAAAATAAACGAGAACAGAATCTTCTTACAGCATCAAAGACAGCCATCCCGATCTGGTTACTTAGCAGTAGCGGATAAAAATTTACCGATAGAAAGAAGCGAGTCCTTACATATGAAATTGGCGTTTTGTACGAGAGGAATATAAAGTATTTTTTTTTTTGTAAATATATTTATTTAATCAAAGTATGCACCTTTATTTTCTATGCACTCTTGCACTCTCATAGGTAGTTCACTGATTAATTGATAGGTAATTCACCTAATATTTGCCTGAGCCGACTCTTTCGACATCATGTTATATACTGTTAAAAGACGACTCATCTTTTGAATCTAATGAAAACTTAGATTTACAAGAGGACGCACCAAATATTGTCGAGAACACACAATCCAGCAAAATACCTCTGCGGAAAGATTTAATTACTCCAAAATTAGTAGCAGCGCTAGATAGGTTTTAACTGATAATGAGAGATTCAGTGTTCATTCTTGAAGTAACTATTGTAGCACTTGGATATATTAATGAATTTCCGATAAGTAAATCTTTCATTCAAAGAATTCGGAAATCTAATCTAATCTAAATAAATAAAAAGTTTTTAATATATAAATAAATTTCAAAATTAAGAATATTTTATTTTAATTACAATTATTATTACATTTGTCATAATAGTAAAAAAAAAGAATTGTCTCCTTTAGACAATACATTTGTTTAAGTTATTACATAAAATGAATATAATATAATAGTAGGTAACTATGATGTGTCTATTCATTTAATTCTATTTAATAATATATTTTTTAACTAACTAAATAATAATATGTAGAATGTAGGTAATTTAGAATACTAATATATATGCATATATATTATAATATGTAAATACAATTTAACTTAACAGAATTAAATTTAACAGAAAATACGTATATTTTTATTTATCTGTACTTAACTATATGAAGCGGAACAGGTGTTTGAATGCGCTACGGATTTGAAAAATTCTTTTTTCATTTGAAGGTTCATTTCTTAAGGAAGGTTATAGGCTATTTAACATCACGATACGACCACAAACAACCCACGCTAGTATTCTCTGTAGCGGCTCGTGCTCTTCCGTTTGTTGCTTATTCATTTTGTTTTATATAATCGTAAATCATTGCATTCATTATGTGTAGTATTAGGTTGTGCGTGCCTACGTTTTGCGCACGTGGAAATCCGTAGACGTGCACGTTTTTAAAAACCTTTTTTAGTTTGAGTCGTGTAACATAAAAAAGTCCAAAGCAACTCAGATTTGTAGATTAAGTATTTAGATTATGTCATCCGTCGCTCTCTAGTATTTTCATTTTATTTACATACTAGCTGCTCGCTCCGACTTCGCACACATTCCGATTTTCTAACTCTATTTTTTTACTTTAGCTGAATAAACTTGATAGGTAATAGGTAAGTGGAGATTATGTTTATTGGTAAAAACATTTTTTATGTAATATAATCTCAACCCAGAGGGTTTTTGTTATATAAATATCTTTTTAATAGACAGATCTAAATAGTTCATATCTAGTAATAAATTAATGTCAATTTAACATTAGTTATTAGATATTATTAGATATGTAGTATTTAAAACATTAATGAATAAATATGCTAATCAGAAAAATATTTAAATTTGAAATTCTTTTTTCTACTGGAAATTTTATATCATTATAATTTTAGTAGCCTGTAGTAACATAAACGGAAATCAAAGCGTAGCTTACAATTTTATAATCTTAAACTTTTCAAATTCATATTTGGATTATTTAAAAATTTTTGTTACTTTTGTTATTTCGGAGGGCACGTAAAGCTGTTATAGAAAAAAAGCGGTTTAGTAACTTTAGACATCATACAGCGCCATCCTCTCAGGGGTAGAAGTAATAATGAAATCATTGACTACACTCGGTTGCTTAATAAAGTCATGTATAAATACTAAGATATTTATTTATTTTTTATTTATACTTTTGCACACATTAAAATATGTCTACAGGCCAGACTTAATGCCTGATGGAATTCTCCATCATTAAATAAATTTTTTGAGAGATAGCAACAATTTATGATAAATAAACATACAAACATGTAAAATAATATACTTACAAAAAATATACATACATAAATATTATATATGTAATAAGTACAAATGTAATTATTATATTTGTTTGTGCGATCCTACGTATTGTGCCTAGGCCGAGATTAAGTGTAAAGAAAATAACAAAATATCATGCTGGCTCATGTCTTATTGATTAGGCATTATTATTATCATTAGATTAGATGTAATCCTGTTAGTACTGATAGTACTTACTAAGAGGTATTATCAGAGGCGGAGCTGTTAGTTACGTACCACTATGTTTTTTACCTCTATGATTTAGTAATATTTCTGGTAAAATCATGTTACGTGTTCTGTATGAAACATATAATTATCTTTTGCTATGCTGATATTTTATATATTTTTAATAAATAATTTAAATATACTAGATACTTATTACCATATTGAATATAATATGCTAGGATTTTTTTTTTAATTTTACAAAATTTATTATTATTTTATCCTTGAATTAAAAATATTAAGTGTCTAACTCGATAAAGTTAGTAATAGGTACTTACTTATGTTTGCATCTTATGAAGGTTCTTCTGTTTAATATTTCTACTGTAAAAGACATGGATAAAGCAGAATGAGATTGAAATTTCTTTTTAACATGTAAAGTATGTATTTTAATTCGCTTTACTCTTTCGTCAACCACAATATGTCTATACCTACCTTATTTTATATTTTAAAAAATAAAACAATAAAGTGAATCTAGAAAACTAATCTTCAAAAAGAAATATATACATATATATATATATGTACATATATATATATGTACATATATACATATGTACCAAATTAATTAAAACTAGTTTATAATGTCATCTAAGTCTAATAATTTGAATATATTTATTTTCTTTTATTTTGATATACCTAGTACGTAAAACACCTACGCAATATGTTACAATATGAAGCAAATTATAAATGCATGCCGATGTATATGTTGCAGTCAAAACTCTTAACCAGTCGAAAGTACTTTTAACTGAACAGGTTAGTCAAAAGTGGTTTTGACGGAAAATTTTTGGTTATAAGTACATTTGACTGCAAGTTTGCGGTTAGGTCAGGTTAGGTACTTTTAACTGTTATTTTAGTCAAAAGTATTATTGACTAAAGCATACGGTCAAAAGCGCTTTTGATTGATTTTGCTAGTCAATAGTACTTTAGACTGGTTAAGAGTTTTGACTGCAACATATATAATATAAAAAGCCTATGTTTAGGATAAAAAAAATTGACATGTATTATTTTGTATGTCATAATAATACATTTTATATGATACACAAAATATATAATGTATAATAATACATTATATATTATAATACATTGTGTGCTGAACAAATTGAAAAAGAATAGGTGTTTAATATTGGTTTTGACATAATAATTGTCTTCAATTACGAATACAATAAAATTATAACTGGATGGTGTTTGTACTCATACATGGAAGATATTTAAAAAAATATATATATATGAGAGATCTTAATAAAAGCAATAGAAGTCAAATTAATATTTTTAGAAATTTTGTCCGTGTGACTGTCGATCTGTCTGTTTGTATGTACATATGTTCCGGTATCACGCAAAAGCTGTTATATTAAAATTGGATACGGTTTAGACAATTTTATTCCTGAAGGCCTAATTTGAAATCTGGTGTATGTTTTACATTGATACAGTGTATATTTGTTGTTGTTGGTATATTTATTTTCCTATTTCTGAAATCCACGCGTATAAAGTAGCGGCCAAAAAGCTAGTTTATGATAAAATATAA